ATCTTTTTTGGTGTACAGGACAACGCTCCAACCAACTGAGCCACCTGGCCAGGGCTATAAAAACTAATTTTTATAATTATTTTCTTTTAGCTAAATTCAATAAAAAGCATTTTTTCCAAAGATTCAATAAATTAAACGCTCAAACCAATATGTTTGTAGATACTATCTAAATCATCCCACTTTATATCAAGTTGTTTAAAATAGGCCCCTCATAAGAATATAAATTTTAAAATCAATTAATAGAGTCAGAGCCTTTGTCTACATCTTCTTATTCTACCACACACATTAATGGAATTCAAATTATAATAGTAAATGTTATTTTAATAGAAGAGCTGACTTATTAACCACTTCTGTCAAAATACCATATATGGACACTCATAGCCAGGCCACTGATTTAATACACAAGGTAGAGAGCCAAAAGGCTTGTCTACATGAAAGAAAGGAAAAATATCATTATATCTCTCTTAACACTGAAGACTTGCCCAAGCCACTTCTTTTTTAAAAATCACTTGGTAACAGCTGTATTATCTGAAGATGAAATCAAGGTTTAAAATTCAGTTAAGTGTTCAATCTTGCCCTCCATCAATATTTTATCCTTTTGTGACAAAAGGATAAACTTTGATGACAAATTTTAGAAGCAAAATGCTAACAATGAACCAAAGGACAACTTTCACATAAGCTGAAAATATCTGCTTAACTTTATTTAACAAGTTGTTTTTCACAGAACTGTATAGAAATAATTTTGAGAGCTGTGACTATATGTCTAATAAACCACTTTAGATTTATATTTAATTACAAATATTCCTACAATAGTTTTTAAAAAGAAAAATATAGTCAGTTCTCTGTATCTGGGAATTCTACATCTGCAGATTCAACCAACCATGATTGAAACACTTGGGGGGGGGGATGTTACCGTGTTGCTAACATGTACTATGTAGTGAGGCCTAGGACAGTTGCTTTTATACTGAACATGTACAGCATTTCTGCCTTGTCATTATTCCCTAAGCAACACAGTGACAGCTATTTACATAGCATTTACATTGTATTAAGTATTATATGTATTCTAGAGATGATATAAAGTATATAGGAGGATTATATGCATAACCAATGGATACAGACAACGGTGTAGTGAAAGCCTGGGGTGGGGCAGGGGCTGGGAGGACGATAGAGGGGGTTGGGGTAATTGGGTGACTTCTTTAAAACTATCAACAATAAAAATTAAAAAATATATAAAAATAAAGTATATAGGAGGATGTACATAGGTTACATGCAAATACTGTACCATCCTATATAATAAAAGCCTAATATGCAAATTGACTGAACAGTGGAATGACCGGTCGCTATGACACACACTGACCACCAGGGGGCAGACACTCAACACAGGAGCTTCCCCCAGCCCACAGGCCCCGGGCCAGCCAAGGTGGGTGCCAGTGGGCCCCCCTCCCCTGATCGCCCCTCAGAGAGAGGCGACCAGCAGTAGCGGTGGGGTGCGGGACTGGCGAGTGGGCGGCACCAGGCCAGCCAAGGTGGGTGTCAGCGGGGGCCCCCCAATCGCCCCGCTGGTTGCCCCACCGATCGGCCCTGATTGCTGGCCAGGCCTAGGGACTCTACCCATGCACGAATTTCATGCACCAGGCTTCTATATAAGGGACTTGAGCATCTGTGGATTGGGGGTTGGGGATGACTGTAACTATCAGCAAATTGATAAGGACTTTAAATTTTATTGGACTTTAGCTGGGGGTGTCCTCTAAAATGTTAAAATGGTCAAATGTACAATATAGTACGATTTGATTCCTCAATCTAACTAAAAAAATAATTTTCTTCACATATATTTTCTCTTCTGAGAACAAACGAAAAGAACATTAAACCAAAACATAATGCTAAAATGTAAAGGTTTAAAAAGCATGTACATCTTTATTTGAAAACTTCTCTTAAGTAACATTTTGAACACATGAACATAACTTACTGCTTAAAAGTAACACAATTGAAATATTTTTAGAAAGTATTCTAAATTTTTAGAAAGTATTCTAAATACTTTCTGATTTAGAAAGTATTCTAAAAAGATAATGACATTAAGACTCAAGTTAAATGAGTGTTAAATCTCACTTCTATTTAGAAATAGTCTCTTGTGTAAAAGCAATATATTATAAACATCTTATAAAATGTTCTTAGGTTGTTGGTTTACAATTTGAGAGAGAAAAAAGAAAGTAGAATGAACAGCATAATTAAATTTACCTTTGGTGACAAAAATGTTCTATTTGGCCAAAGCCAGCTGTAGTATCTTGTAGCCATTAAGCAGAGAATATAAACTTAACTTCCATTTTAAGTCTCTCCTCATGTCTAGAAGTTAATGCATTCTAGAATAGTAAAGGAAGGGCCTCATCTCTTCGTGGAGATTTTTCAACAAAGGTAACAAAGATCTAGATATAAAGTCACGCTTCAGAACTGAAATGAAGGAAGACATGATAGAGAAAGAGTAATTTTTGGATAACCAGGATAGCCAATAGCTGTTTTCACTCTGAACTAAAAATTTTTATTTGCTACTCAAATCAATAATAAAATTACAGAAAATAGGTTTTTAGAGTGTTTCAAGTAAACAAACCCATAATTTCTAGTAAAAAAGGAAAACCTATTAAAACACTCTAATACACACTACACCCTCGAGTGGGCAAACATCCATGGAAAAATATAAAGGTTTAGTTGGATTTTCCACTCAGTTAAATCAGTCCTATAATTAATAAAATGATGGCTCTAAAACCTCAAATTTCACATTATTTTAATCACTTACTATCTGAGTAGAAGAAGTAAAGATTTTTAAAAATAACAATTTAGATCTTATAGAGAGTAATGTAAGAAATAAAATCACGATCTGCTTATATTCCCTTAAAAAACAAAATGCTATGAGATTCTTATTTCTTCAACTTATAAAGGGGAAAAGGTAAACAGAATAAATCACATATAAAGATGTATAATTAAAAGATGAAGTACCCTTTATATCATGAACTGCAAAGGCAGCACTAATATTTTAAAGCAAAATATAAGAATTATGGTTCCTTAGTGAGAACTGTGGCAGAAAAGCAGTATGTTCATTAAGTTTTTCAGGAAAACAACTTACATTATCACCTGGTAATATTTAGTATTACTGGTCTCATGGGGCTATGTGGTCACTATACAGAAATATAAACACACTTAGAATAAAATTAAGATACTACCTAAAAGAGCCTTTATTCTATATGGCTAATGTTTTAGCACTTAATTGATATAATAGAAGCAAAAACTAGATTAAAAGTATTCCACAATGGCCCAAATGTCAAAGTTTCTCCAGTTTACAACAGAATACAAAACATATATTTAACACATAAATATAGAAATCATGTATGAAGATGTACATTTCCAAAATGTATCAAGGAACTTTTGGTAAATATATATATTCTTTAGGAAAACCTAGTACGTACAACTAAGAACTATTTCAGGTCTTGAACTTATCCTGGATATGAGACTAGTACTTAAAGGACAACAGTGACATCTAGCGAACATTTCAAATATATACCACGCATATCGAATCAAAACTTTACTAGTATTTCCAGGGCTTCACATATTTCAACCTGCCTGAGCAATTATATGACAAATCTTTCGCTTTAAACCAAAACAAAGCAATTCTGATCCCAAATGATTTCTCAATATGATGACCCATTCATGTGATTAATACAAAGAGAGAGACAGGGTCTTAATATAAACAAGTCAAATAAGAGTCTAGGGGCCAACAAGTTAACTGGAAGTCTTTCAAAAATCACAGGTGCTTCCCAGATCCCCCAGAACCAATGAATTTAAAGCTTTTAATGATTATTTGAGTTCAATTATTTTTCTCACAAGAAACAATGCTAAGGTCCAGAACTTCACAAGTATACAATTCAAAATCATTAAAATATCTCAAATGTAAATATTTTAAAACTAAAAAAATATCAGGTCACAAAAGCACTGTCCTGATAGCTTCAAAAAGTCATACAGGGGAAAAATAAACTACAATATATTCAAACAATGAACTACAATACAACTCAGGAATAAAAAAGAATGAAGTAATGATACGTGCAACAACATGGATGAATCCTGAAAAACTTAGGCTGAATGAAACATAAAAGTTACACCCTGTCTGATTCAACTTATATGACATTCTATCTAGAACAGACAAAATGATCTATAGAATGAATGAATGAATGAATACATATAGACATAAAATCAGAACAGTTACTTCTGGGGGTAAAATGGAAATGGAGATTCAGAAAGGACATGAGGGAATTTTCTTGGGTAATGGAATTGTTCTATATCTTAATAGGCGTTAGTGTTACACAGATATATGCATTTGCTAAAACTTACCAAATATTATACTTAAGATTTGTGCAAAATTTATATAAATTTTACCTTAAAAAAATGAACCTAAGCAAATAGTAATAACTCCAGTTATCATATATCATGCTTAAGTATTTGTGATGATATTTATAGATACCTGAAACTTACTTTGACATTTTGATATATATATATAAAAATTAGATGGACTGACAGATTATTATAAAGCAAATATAGCAAAACATCAGCAATTATAGAATCTAGGAGGCGAGCATATTAGAATTCACTAAAAAAGTCTTCCCCTTTTCTTTATGTCTGAAAATTTCCATAATAAAGTATTGAGAAAAAATAAAAGTGACCATTAGAACTCAAAAATTTTTTTTAAATATTATAAAATATGAAACAAAATTCTTAAATAGCAACAATTTTATTTTAAATACAGTAGTGGGCAAAAGTAGGTTTACAATTGTGAATAAGTGAAACACAATATTCTTATGTTATTATTTATTATTGTATTATTTTCCATACAAATCACTGTTTCTCTACTTTTGCCAACCCCTGTATTAACATTTTAATCCCTCTAACTAAATATCAAACATGACTATCCTCTAAAGAGCCTGACTGATATATACATATTTTAAAATTTGAAAACATACCCGAATTTCTTGAAGGTTATGGAAATTATTTCCTACTCTGACTGAGATCTTGCTTGGAGTATAGCTTTCATCAGATTTGTAATCCGCATAAATACATAATGTCTTCACTGTTGTTTTTCTTCTAAAATCAATAAAATAAAAACATGACCTTTATCATATGGAAAGATTATATCCAAAACATCTTATCTTATTTTAAAAATCATTGTTTGCTAAAACGAGTATCTAAATCAAAAGTTTCGATGTTCTTTACTTTTAACAATTATGAAAATGAAGAACATGTAAAAATTATAGACACACATTTTACTTATATACAGACATTGCTTATCTAGAGCAAAGTCAAGAACAAGATGTGAGCAAAGAAGGAACAGTTAAGCCAAAACAGAATCATACAAAAACAATTTGAAAGTGACTATTTTGGTGGCATGGAACTATGGGAGATATTTATATTCTTCTTTATCTATGCTTTTTTTAAATTTTTAACAATAAGCATGTGTTATTTGGGTCCGTAGAAAAAAAATTAGACAATTTTAAACATCAACACACACAAAAAACCACACTAAGAAGTCCATTTAAATGTGCTTTAAAAGTTAAGTTCTGGTATAAACTGGCACTAACTTAACAACAATGAGCTCCTTGAACAGAAGTAGTCTGTGTCAAAAGTCAACCTATAAAAACAGCAGGGGATCTGTAACTCTTAGAGAGGGGACCAAACTTCTGTAGACTAAGCTATTCATCAGAAAGGAATGGGGAAAGTTAAGGACTTTCCCGCAAATAATAAAGACAGATGAAGATGTAAAATGCTAAATACCCAGGAACTGTTGACAGGATAAATACCATTACCAGGTTTTAAAAAGAGGCCAGAGGTATCAAACTGACATCTTTCTGTTTCTGTAGAGCTAGGGAGGAGACATGAGAGGAAGCAAAGGAAGAAGGGAAATTCTGAAGGGCACACAAAAGACTTTCTCCCTGACGAGCCATAAGCAGGCAGTGAAAGGTCTTTCTTAGAAAGATCAAAATCATGAAGATTATTCTTAAGGACTACTTTTAAAAAAAATGAAAATAGATATAAAGGAAGAATAATTTTATCTCCAAGTTATAAAATCCAGGACAACTTAGGCACTGGAACCTATAAGATAATCAGGGTGATGTTAGAAAGGCAAAGAATAACAATAACACTAATCACTGTAAAAACAACAGCAACAGCAGCAAATAGCAAGTGAATACCCTATTCGGCCCAGAAGTAATGGTTTAAGTGTATTAACTTATGTTCTCCTCAACTTTGTGATATGGGAGCTATTATCACCTTAATTTCACTGATTTAAAAAGACACAATAATACTCAGGTTAATAATATGTTAACGTTGAAAAGCTAGTAGGTGAGCATGGTAGGAGTTCAAATGTGTGTCTGCCTCACTTGATCTTAAACTATCACCTTCCTACTCACAAATTGTACTTACCTTATTCAACAGTCATTGATGACAGTTTATAGTAATATGCAGGTATTTACACTTCTTTAAATTTTATCTACACCATAAGATGTTATCCTAAGGCCCACGTATCTCCAGAAATCATATATGTAATTTATGCAATATACATTGATTCATTAACTTTGCAAAGGAAATTGTGACCTCATCAAAAGTTTAAAATTATTTCTCTAAAAGGTACCTGTAAGGCCTTTTTAAATTGTTTATAAACTAGAGGCCCGGTGCACGACACTCATGCACTTGGGAGGGTCCCTCAGCCCAGCCCACGCCCTCTCACAGTCCGGGAAACCTCGGGTGATGTCGGACTGACACACTTAGCACTGCTGCAGAGGCAGGAGAGGCTCCCGCCACCGCCTCTGCACTTGCCAGCCATGAGCCCAGCTCCTGGCTGAGCGGCGCTTCCTCTGTGAGAGCGCACTGACCACCAGGGGCAGCTCCTGCATTGAGCGTCTGCCCCCTGGTAGTCAGTGCACATCATAGCAACCGGTTGTTCCACCATTTGGTCGATTTGCATATTAGCCTCTTATTATATAGGATAGGATTTATCTCATGGTGAATTTAAAATAGCAGTGCATGTGGGAAGGTTAAATGCATAGGTTCTGAGAAATACTATCAGCTACTCAAACTGCTTAAATTATCACTATAATAATAATCACCATAAACTGAATGCTTTAATTACTCCAGGCACCTTGCTAAACTCTTAGGATAAGGTATTATAGGAAAGGAGAAGGCAGAGGGTAACACTCATTTCTGATGACATAAGTAACACTTACAGCCTCTCTCTATTCCCTCACCCACTATTCTCTTTCTGCTGAGAAAGAGCTGCTGGCAGGAAGCAAACATTTAATAGGGACAGGCTCTACCTGGTCTATTACTTTCTGAACTGGATGGGTAAGTCTGTGTAATTCTAGGGTTCAATATTAGGAAAACACTTGACTGCAGATATAAGCCCCTTTCTAACATCAGCTTGGTCAGTTTTATAAGAATGATGTTTTAGTCTCACCTGCTATAACTCTTGAATAATTTCTCAATTGATTTGGAACCCATGAAATTTCAACAGAAGAGATTAGTGACAAACACTCCTAGTTTCCAACCTAACGGCCCCTTTACCTTTTTTTCTTCATAACATCCAGCTAAAAGGCTTTATTCCCCAGATTTCCTTAAAACTAGGTATGACCATGAGACTAAGTTATGACCAGTAAGATTTCAACGGAATGACTGAGTGAAATAAAGAAAGTTTAAGAGGAAGACATACCCCCTTTACCTTTCCCACCTACTCCATCCTACTGCCTGGGATATAGACATGATGCAACTTGGAGGATAGAATCCATGAGCTAAGAATAGTGGAATGGAAAGAGAAGGAATCTGGGTCTACAAGATACTGTGGGCTGCCATACCACTCCTCGACTGCCAGGATCCTCTAATATAAAGAGGTAGAAGAAATAAATTTCCACCTTGTTTAAAACACTGTTATTAAAAGCTCTGTATCCCACTTCTAGGAATACATCCCAAGAAACTAGAAACACCAATCAGAAAGGATATATGCACCTCTATGTTCATAGCAGCACAATTTACCATAGCTAAGATTTGGAAACAGCCTAAGTGCCCATCAACAGATGAGTGGATTAAAAAACTATGGCACATCTACACAATGGAATAAGCCTAACCAATGGACACAGACACCACGGGGATGAGGGCATGAGTGGGGGCAATGGGGGAATAAGGACACATATATAATACCTTAATCAATAAAGAAAAGAAAAAAAAGCTCTGTTACTGCCTGGCTGGATTTCTACCACCATCTGATAGCATTGTGGTGAAAGTCTCCTTATTTGCAAAGTTTATGAGATGAAAGGAAAAGACTAGGCCATGTCT